GCCTCAGAACTGGTTAAATTTCTCGAATCTGCTCGATCCATGTGATGCCGAGAAGGTCGTTGTCGTCGGAGACATAGCAGGTGCCATGTCCGGGATGAGCCTTTCCTCGATTGTCCATGACCACGAAAGCGGCTTCGAAGCTTCCGTGAATTGGTAGTGGGGATCCATTGGCTCCTTTAAAGACGTCGAGGTCCTATGATCGAGCTGCATCCAGGTTGGACGAGAAATGATGGTGACGTCGGCGCCGGTGTCCAACTGGAGGCGGGTGGGATGTCCGTTGATGTGAACTTCCAGGTACTTTGGACATCTCCAGAAGCTCGCGGGAGCTGTTCCAAAAAAGCCATCTAGACGAGCTCTAGTGCACCTGCCGCATGACAATGCTACATTCCATGAAGTCAAAGAGATCCACCAAGAAATTGATGAGCTAGGCAGGCAGACCACACCCGAAACGCCATACATATTTTTCTGTCATACACCCCTCTGAGAGTCATCTGTTCCAACCTCTCAATTCTATCTTGACTAAGCTTTCACCAAGCTCGATAACATGAACTGTGAAGTCGCCAGCTTTTCAACTCCTAGGTTCCACAATTCTGAAGGGAGGGAACCTCTGGCTCGCTCATTAGGGGTAGGCGGCACCATAGTGGCTAATTATTGTATTAGCCTTTATTGTTTTGTTGATCTGTTTCCATTACACGTCAGTACGTCGAGTAAAAAATATCGAAGAAAAAACACAGCAGTGACAATACTCTCTTGCCGCCCTAGTATACGTATGGATATCTTGGTAATGCATCGTACGGTCTAGTTCGCATCAGATGATGGGCGTTCCATGGAGGGATAGGTTTGGGGCCCGTGTTTCAGTTTTTCTGCAAGCGACAAGCCTCACCGACAGGCTTTTCTGGCGATCATCCATATTAAACAAGAATGTACTTTCAGTCAGTTACCGTAATGGTGGCAAGTTACATAGGTTATTGTGCCTTTCTTCGTCTTTTTAAAATTAGCATTCGTGCAGCCTAATCATACTGTGAGTCGTTTTCAATGATCAATTCATGTGTTTTCGAGTGGAAAATAACAGCCATCAGTCCTTCTGCTTCTGCGACACCGTTTTCTCATAGTACCGTTTTTTGACGTCCTATGCCACTCTTTGGTACGCCGCAATCAGATACGCCGCAGGTGTCAAGAAGCGGAATGAACCCGCCCCAGGCGGCCTTGCTCTACCAATAGTGATCGGCTAGTCATCAATTTAGCAAGAAAATAACCCGGAGTGGAAACGCCTTGAAACCTTTCAGTTACAACAAGTTCTGTTAGGCCCAGCTATCTGGTTGCGTAGAAGCGCCTGGCCTTTGGAGCTCTGTATGGCTCGATGGTGTACTTCCATGGAGCTTCCATTCTTCTTCAGTACTGTATAACTTCATCCGGAAGTGATCTCGAGATACAACGTGCAACGAAGGGTTCAAAACCAGAAATTCCTCTTCTCAGAAAGCGCAAATCTTCTTGCAGAGAGTCTGCTATAGCAAGAGCTCCGCCATCGCTGACTTTGGCTCGACCAGACCTACAGACCTTTGAAGACTTTCAGTGCACGTCTTCTTCCTGTGATGAGTAGGATTAAAAGCACAGAGGCGCTGACCATGCTCTGTGTAGAGCGCACCCCTCAATCATCTCCACTCCAATGGCTGTGACTGGAAGAAATTTTATTTCTAGATCACTGATCTAACGTGGTCCGAGTTACTCCTTTGCCATTCATTGCTAGGATTTATTGATACAAACGTAACGTAACTATACTGTAGTTCCATTTACTCTGAATTAACTTGACGCGAATTTCCAAGTCCACGGATGTACCGTGATCCACAGCGAGGCACAGAAGGTAGGGCAGCGAACTAGAAGCTAAATTCAGTATTACCGCCACGGTACCGTAACCCAAAGCGGCGCCCAGTTGATTGTAACTCCGCAGTGGACGTACGTATAACACCGAACTTTACGCCGGTACCACTATGGGAATTGTGCGGAAATGCTTAATACACTGCAGTGTTCGACGATGGACGGAAATTTCATGCACATTTCACTTATGAATTTTTCGTCTCGACATAGAGGCTCTGATGTTTGGCATTGCGCAGCGTAAGGGAATTCATAACGCTCACAACGCTTCTTTCTAGTCTTTCTATTTACATTT